GCAAACTGATAAATAAAAGCAAATGCAGAAAAGGCGCTTATGTAGAATTGAGAAAGAAGTTAAGAAGTTGATAACATGAGCACTTGTAATGTTTGTGTTTAATGACTACAACAAATGTGGAAACACGAATTTACGTTCGGCAGGTTGCCTGCTATTTTATTGCACCAAACACGCACAGCAACACCAAATGCTATGATATTATATTTACATTTATCAAAGTTTGAGTTACTACCTAGAGGAACGAGTGCAACGAAGTCCACACTTATAAAGTGAAATATACAGTTCTTCGTATATGACTTGAAAACTATGGGAACAGCTTTTGTTGAATTTGGTGGAAACACCCATCCAGTCGACTGCTATTCAATTTCGGGTTCATACGCGTAAATTCACGATTCATCACCTGCCACGATGTCATAAACGTTTCAAAGCGCCCCTATTGCTTTTTTAACATTTCGTCCGACCAATTGAAAGCAAGCCTTTTTTTGAGCGATTGACAAATTGTGTGGTATCCAAAATGAAATCAATTTCTTTCAGTCAAATATGATGCATTTTTTGAAATAATGTCTATAGTTGTCTCAATCTCACGATAGATCACTTACCGATCTGGCAATAAATAATATTTTAAGTTACTGTGACTGTGACTGTGACAAAGCGTTCTGAGTATTCTTCTTTTCTGTTGGCGTAGACACAGCTTATATACGCAGTCATAACCGAGTTAACAACATCGCGCCAGACATTTCTTCTTTTCGTAATGTGGCGCCAATTAGAGACTCCAAGTGTAGCCACACATTGCATTTCCACATTGTCTTTTCAACTGGATGTCTTCCTCTTCTCTTGCATCGAATACTTTCGCAGCTGGAATGTTTTCGTCCATACGGATGACATGACCTAGCCAGCCGCTGTTTCTTAATTCGCTGAACTATGTCAATGTCATCATATATCTCGAACAGTTCAAAGCTCCATCGACTGCGGTGTTCGCAGTTGCCAATTGCGCTCTCGCAAAGCTTTTCTCTCGAGAACTCATCAGATGTTGTCATGGTCCATGCCTCTACACCATATAGAAGGACGGGGATGATGAGTGACTTATTGAGTTTGTCTTTATTCGTCGAGAGAGGATTTACTTCTCAATAGCCTACTCAGTCCGAAGTAGCACCTGTTAGCAAGAGTTATTCTGCGTTAAATTTCCAGGCTGCTGTTGTTTTGATGTTAATGCTGCTTCCAAGGTAGACGAGATTATCTACGACTGTCAACAGAGGCGTGGGAGCCAAATCGAGAGTGCGACGACAGTTTGTTTGATGGCAGGAGATATTATGTCTTCCCCTCGTTGATTACCAGACCCATATTCTACACTTCTTCATTCATTCTGGAGAAAGTAGAACTAACAGCGCGGATGTTGAGGCCAATGATATCAATATTATTGGCGTAGCAGCTGTACACTCTATTAGAAGATGTTAACTTCTCTATTTAGTTTTGCAGCTCGCATTATTTTCTCCAGGAGTAAATTGAAGAAATCGCAAGATAGGGAATCGCTCTGCCTGAAACCTGGTTTTGTGTAGAAGGACTCGGAGCGGGTTTCAGAGATGGTGTGTGTCGAAATTATTTTCACGGGTCATTTTCAAGATTTTGCATATGGTGAAGATCTCGTCGGTTTTGATTTTCCAAACCTTAAGCCACATAAGGTCCAAACATAGTGAGTTCAAAGATTGCAATACTAGTGATTCCAAATTCCGAAATATAAAAGACAACCTCATCAAAAATGACAGACTTTACGATGAAGTTGTGAGTTGCCAGATTGCAAAACTAGGGCTGACAAATACCGAAATATAGAAGGATGCATATTAACTATAAAATAACATCTCATTTAAAACAGCAGATATAAAAAAAAAACAACTGTTATATGTAAAGTGTTGGTAAAACAATATTCAATTCATATGTATGTACATCACACCGGTGTTCCTATATGAAGTGAGTTTTTTTTTTTCTGAAAACGATGTACTAATTTTGAATGGGAAAGTAAAAAAAAATATTATTCGATATATTGACCATTGCTTTTTACACATTTTGACTATCTTTTTGGCAAATTGTACCATGTTCGACTTTTAAAGCAAACCAATCAGACATCCAGTTTTCGACTTCTTCGTAGAAATCGAAGTACTACTGACGGAATGCTTGTCCCATCGATGAAAACAAATGCTAATCAGAAGGGGCTAAGTCTGGTGAATACGGCGTGTGCGTTAGCAGCGTTAAACATCTAGCCTGTTATGAAATATGTGTAAATTAAACTACATTATTAACGTTTCTTAGCTACCACATTTCACTTTCGGTTTTGGTTTGGCTTTTGGTTTGGCATTTGGTTTTCATCTACTTATTATTTCAAGTCAAAATAATTTCGGTAAATTTTAAAAATATTAACTTTTTTGTAAAAATCCAAATAAAAATGCCACAAATATTTTCATGCTTCGATTTGTTTTATGTGTATTTGAATGCCTATGCTTCTGAGTGCTGCTCAATGTTCCAAATATTTATTTCCCTCATTTATATATCATGCTTTGCCCTCGACATTCTCATTTATTTGATGAAGCGTGCTCACAACATCTGTATAGTACATACATACATATTTACACATGTAAGGCTCTTAACGAAATGCTAATCAACTTTGCAATTCGTAATATTTTCCTAACTACTACCGACTACCAAGTACCAGTAGTAATGTTAATCAAACATGCGAGATCGAAAAGAAAATTCCATTCGAATTCAGCGTGAAGAGTTGTGCTCTAGAGAGCATTGAGAACGTTTAACTGCTGCAGTAAACATCACGTCTGTGCATGCATAGTTGAGCAATTAAGTTTCTACAGCGTTCCAGTCAGTCAATAGCCTTAGCCTTGACTGTGGGTGGCGGGGGGATGAGATTCACACCATAAAAGTGACAATATGTACGCGTGCATGAAAGAAAACACTCATTCTGCCGCTACAGTCATATACATATTGCCACGAAACTTACTTTTTCTCAATCAACATGAAACTATTTGCCCATTGAATGTGCGTAATTACTCGTGTTTGGCGAATAGGCTTTGTTGCACGCATTTTTCCTTGATCTATTATTATTAGGAGGCTGATGAAAAACTTTGATGAAGCTCTAGTCAATTTTTCTAGCCAACGTTGTAGTGGTGTCAATGACCAATTCCCAACAACGAAATTTGCATGATTTTCACCACTGATTTCAAGGGTAACCAAAAAAAGCGTTAACTTCGGCTGAACCGAAGCTAATATACATTTCTTTTAGTAACTATGTGTTCAGTTTGTATGGAAGCTATAAGCTACATTAATTTTTCGAATATTACATTTCTGTCTTAGAAAACAATCTATACCAAATTTCGTGAATATATCTTGTCAAATGCCAAAGTTTTCCACACAAGAACTTTTTTCCGATCGTTCAGTTTGTATGGAAGCTATATGCTACAGTAATCTGATCTGAACAGTTTTGTCGGATATTACATTTTTGCCTTAGAAAATAATCTATACCAAATATTGGAAATAATTTGGCCGGATGATGCACCCGACGGCGCATTATCACGGTGATGCCCCTTTTTACGAAAAGCGTCGCGCAAAAGACACTTAAAACTCAAATAAAATTCTTTGGCGTAATTTTTTCGGCTTCGGCTCACCTTCGACATGGTATTCGGCGGATTGATCATATGTTTCCGGGTCGTAAACCAGTTATAATACGTTTAACGGCACGCTGTTTTTCAAAAATATTGAGCTTTTGTAACCAATCGTGCTTTCACTTTTCTTAGGCCCAAATGACCTTTCAAAATGGTATTTACTGATCCTTCCGATATTCCAACGATACCAATAAGATCTCTGACTATTAGGCGTCGATTTTCAAGCGCAGATTCTTTTATTTTATTGATCGTCAGTTGATGGCCGCACTGGACGTGGATCGTCGTCAACGCGTTTTCGAACCTCTTTTAATAATTTCTATAAATCAAAAACACTTGTTCGCGATTAAAATCTATCGCCAAAGGTCTTTTTCAACATACTGAACGTTTCGGCGCCAGAAATTTTGCTACACACGCAAAATCTAATGCAACTTTTTTGTTGAATAATTTCACTCATCGTAAAAATCGCCATCTGCACTTTATGTACTTCAGAAAGCCAAGCGTGTATTAAACTCTAACGATTATTTTTATGTGACATTTGGCGCAGATGCCACTGACAGTCATTACAACCTAGAAGAGAGATATTTCGGTGGATTTTGCGCGAAATTTAAATTAAAAATGTTTATATAACCTAGCTTAACTTCTCTTAAAAAAAGTCGATATGAATTTCGAAATGTTTTTATGTCTCTGTTTCGTAATGCTGTACGACAATATCATCATCGTATCCTACGGTATGAAAACCAATTATATCTACACATAGTATCCTTAAGAAGCGTTTCTTATTTTCTATTTAAGAAAGCCCTTATTTGGAATGGTTATACGTCTTGTTAACATTAAGTTCAGTTCAGTAAAGAGCTCCTTTTGAAAATTATGTGCACTACGACTACTATTACGATATCAGTAGTATATTGATTCCCCTAAACAGCTATCGGAATCTGCAATTTTCAAAACAAGATACAGTCAAGTAATTGTTGTGATAATACATATCTTTTCAAATATATGATTTTCAATTTAGCAATTTTCAATTACATTTAAGGGTTATTATCAACGTAAAATAAAATTCATAAGGACTCAAAACTCTTCCTTCGTATCTATATGAACTTTTAAAGTAGCAAAAATTCTAACTAAATTTACAACATGTTACAACTAATTTAAAATGTTCTGGTTGATTGCTACATTACATTCAAATGTCTTGTAACGATCGAAGAATTTTTGTACACACTTTGTATTTATTTTGTATATTGTGTATCAAAACTTCACACCAGTATATTTTGAAATGTCTATAAATATTTTATCTTTATAATATTTTCTCTAATGGATCTCATTTTCAACCTTTTGCAGGCGATGTCTACGTTGAATATATACAAGGACTTCCACACCTAACAGTGCCGCTGCCAAGCAGATTGGAAAAATGCCGATTTGCTCTGAGGCCCGTGTCGCACAAAGTAGGCGATCTTATCGAAATGCTGAAAATTGAAGATCACGGTATTGATCGAGCGGTTGTGCTGAACAAATGTGGTGTACGAATAGCGTCCACATGCGCCATCGACAGCCTTATGGATGAGCCATTTTGGTGAGTAATGATGGGAAAATATTTAAAAATTGTTCAGGAAGCATGCGTGTTTCCACAAAGTTCGAATCCAATTACAGAACTGATTTAGAGACAATTCGAACCCATATTAAAGCGATATAATGTCTCATGTAATCGGTTTCCTTGAAGTTTACAAAAAATGCTACTTATTTTTTTATTATTATAACATTGAAATTCTATTCCTCTCCAGGCTGCAAATAAATGATAACAAATACGAAGTGATCCCTCCTAAAAGGAAAAAAATCGACTCTGAAGACTTAAAGAGGCTTAGTGATGTTAGAACTTTAGTAGCACAAGTAAGCAAAAAAATATATTTTTATTGTATGTAAAACTTTTCAAATGTATATATTGTGTTATCATTACAGTTGTATGAAGCTTTACATGTCGGCGAATATCATTTGCATAAAGAACATGAACTAGTGAAAAAAATAGAAAATTTAAAATTTGAAATAGCACCTCTAGAAATGGTAAGAGTCTCTATAACACGCTTGCGCAACTAGGTCACAGTTGAAATTATCTAATGTTTCTTAAATTTACAGGAAAAGCAGGAACTTGCTAAACTGGCGCAACGTAAAACGGTCGTCGCAACATGGGTGGGACTCAGTTTAATGGCGGTACAATTTGGCGTCTTGGCGCGCCTTACATGGTGGGAATACTCTTGGGATATCATGGAACCCGTCACATACTTTGTTACATATGGCACCACGATGGCCCTATATGCTTATTACTGCCTAACGAAATCGGTAATATATTAGGAAGATAATAATGCTTATACCTTAGACTCGTTATAGTAATAATTGAACTCTTACGGAAAGAGTATATTCGAAGTTATTGATGAGAAAAGTTTATAATTTCAAGAACATTTCATGGTTTGTTTTTATTATTGTATGTTTTGCTCGTACTGCAAATTATATAGATGGAAATTAAAAAATCAAAAAGTCTTTTCGACCTATCCACCAAATTGCAAAATATAATAAAAGGTAATCCATTTCCAGGTTCCTTACTTTTTTAACCACACAGAAACTTGAAATCCGATGGGGAATGTTTATTATTCGAAAGAACATTCTTTGGCACGAATGTTTTGAAAGTTACCTCTTTCAAATTTTAGCCGCGGTTAGATCACAGACGGTCTATCTGTTGAGTCGAATGTTCGATGACTCGTTCGAGCATTTCGACTGATAACTTTTAAATTACACGTAAATTGTTTTGCTCCACGAACTGAATAGAAGCAAAATTGTTCGCATAGACTATAGACTTTACATATCCCCCTAGGAAAGTTTTCCAGTGTGAAATCACACGATCTTGGTGGCCAATCGACTGCCTAAAACGTGAAATTATCTGCTCACCGAAGTATTCTCTCAATACAGTCATTGATTGATGAAATCTGTGGGAAGTGGCACCGTCTTGTAGAAACCAAATGTCGCCAAGAGTTGAGCGAAAACGGTAGCCATTGATGATTAGAATAGTTCTCACCGACGTTAGTTTTGAGGAAATATGAACCAAAGATTCTAACAGCTCACGAACTACCGTTGTTTCTTCCAGATGAAATGGCAGCGCTTGAACCTCATCAGATTACTCTTCACCCCATACCAATTGAAACGGAAGTAGGCATCATTATAGAACAAATTTGGCTTGAAAACGTTGGATCTCTTGGAACTTTTCAAGAGCCCGTAGAGTGAAGCGATGTCGCTTGTGAAGGTCGAGCGAGATCTCGACGTAAAATGCGCCAAGTCTTTCCATACGTCAGTCCGAGTTGTCGCGAACTCACAGCTATGGCTGCTATATTTTCTTCACTGTGTGCTGGACGTAGACGTGCAATAATGAATTGTGGGTCTCCAGATGGGTGATTATGTTGCGAATAGTACGCTCAGTAGGCCGATTATGCTGACCAAAAGTTGAGCGTAATAAAGTTAAACGACTTGTAAATGCTATTAAGGCGTAGATCATTGGCACCTAATTCCCTCTAATTGGATCATCCGTTATTTATATTTAACGAAGGCATCATAATTGCCTACTAGGTACTGTTGCTATTTTTTATTGGGCTTTCGAAGTGAATTAAGTTGCAGATCACGAGTTCAGACCTGGAAGATCAACGTCCCATGGGGGTTGTAACAATGGTACTCTAGTTTGTGGGAAACATAATAATATACGAGTTAGGAACCGGACGGTTGAATGCAGACTTTTGTTTAATTTATTTTTGTATTGTTGATTGATTATTGATTATATATACATTTGTTATATTTCTTTCAGGAATACACTTACGAAACAGTTAGGAATCGTCTCTTTCTGATTACAATGCACAAAAAGGCCAAAAGGAAGAGCTTTGACATTGAAAAGTACAATCAATTAAGACGTGAAATCGCCGAAGCTGAATATGATTTGCGACGCCTACGCGATCCCATCAACTTGCAACTGCCGCCACATATTGATCGTTCGCAACGCTCAATACCAATTGAACCACCAACGAGCGGTAATGGCGAAACACGCCTCCTAACGGCCGTTACATCCGAAAAGAAACCCGCTAGCTTCCGACTGCCCTTTTTAGAACCAAAAAACTAGATTTTTTATATACATAAGTAATTTATCAGTTGAACATATTTACGTATGTATGTATGTATGTATGTTATGTGACTMTGTTAGTTCCCCATGGAACACAATGTTGAGTTTCACGTAAGCACAAACTGGCTTCATGCAAATGCAAATACAAAAAGCAAATACAAATATTAATAGTAGTAACATAGTAACGTACCACATATTCATATAGCGAATACAAACATACATACGCAACAACAACAACTGAATATAGTTTTAAGAGGCACGTGTTGTATTGTGCGACATCGTCGCTCGTTCGTTGTTCATTCGTTTTGTAATTTCAATTGTTTCTATGTGTTTTCATACTTACTTTTAATGCGAATTGTTATTTTTGGCCTTAACCCTTGTAATATGCTCTTGCTTAGAAAAGTTTGAAGTGACCTTCCTATCGTCTGGGTATCGTATTGATCACTTCCTATAATACCTATGTAGCTAGACTTAAATTAAATTATTATTGCCACGCAATTGTTATATGTTTACCAACACATTTACTTAATATCTATGTGTATGAGTGCATTTGAAGAACTTATATGAAAAACCGTAGTTGAATTAAATGACAAACTAGCAAATCAAAGACGGCATAACTACTGAATTATGTATGTATGTTTAAAACTTGTTCTAGGTACATAAGTGGTTATATTCGCTGTATGCGCTAAATCCTTGTATGATCACTGGCAATAAGGATGTATGCTCTCGAGAATAAGTGCTAAACAATAAAAAACAAATAGTTACTTAAGCGCCTCTGTCTCACCACAAACTTACATAAATTATTTATTGAGGAAATGTAATTTAATTTGAGGGGTTTATTTAAATAAATGTTTATGTTTCAATCGTTTGTGTTTGGTTTTTTACTTTTTTATTTTATYTTAATGTTAACCCATTTATAAAGGCACCGCCCTAATGTACGCACAGTAAACTTTTCCTGAAGAAATTCTCATGGATACCGATACCGATATCCTTAAAATATCAAAGCTGTTGTGTCTGCGTAACCGGAATGGAGCCGGATTTATATTCGGACAAGGAATGTAAGCGCAAGAAAATATCACTGTAAAAGAAAAAATTTTCGCAAAGTTAAAACTAATTCCACTTGAACACTTAATTATGGATCAAAAAGAACATCGCATATCGACAAAACGCCTGTTAAAAATTTTTTGAGGCGATCAATTCCAGCCAATCTTTTCTAGAGAAACGGTGAAAGAGAAAGTGTCTAAATGTTTCCACCTCATCTTTCTTGTTGCAACTTTGACAAGTCGTGTCTACCAAAATCTTTCACTTTACCACGTGAGTGCCAATGGGTTTCAAGCTTGGGTACCTATCATTGTGGCGATGTGAACCTTGTTAAGACTTTGGCAATCCCACAAGTGCTAGTTGCTTAATTCGTTCGAAGCCCATAATTCCAGCACCCGAATGGAAGAAGAATAAGCTTGATGCTAATGCTAGTGAGGGCATGTAGTACTTGATTAGCTTTGAGCTCAAGACCTGTAAAGCAGGTCCGCTAATCCCCACTTCAAAGAGGTATATCTGCTGCTACCTTGATAGCTGTATTCTGTCCTTTTGAGAACTCCCGACAGAATATCCGCCTTCCAACATTACCCTTGCGCTTTGATCGCAGCGCAGCAATTCCGCCCCAGTCACATATCCCTCATAACTATGTTCGCGAAAAAGATGCCACTAGCATCTCTCTAGTGAGTGAAAGTAAAAGCTATAACTCGACTCAACTCATCGAAATTATTCGATAGGTAAAGGAAACCGAACTGCACCTTCCGGGATGCCTCTATTTCCTTTCGTAGTGCTTACATACATATTTTACTAATGTGTTTAGGAAAAAGACAACAAAACTTAATTGACACTTGAATGGTGAAAACAAAACACTTGTAGCACTTGTCCGCAGAATGAGGATTCCGATATAACAGACCTCAAGCAAATTACTATTACCGAAACGCAACTCTTAGAAATCTACTGCCGCCCTAGCTATAGCTTACGAATGCGTCTTGAGATAAGGTAGAGCTTACCCAAAATCCACTCAAATCAAAATGAGGCTGGTCAAGCTGTATTGCCGATATTTGATGATGTTTTTGTAGCCAATATGTGGTTTCAACAAAACGGTGCTACATGTCATACAAACTGTAAAACACTTCAATCTCTCCATGAGACATTTACAGGTCACTTCTTTTGTTTTGGTGATCAAAATTGGCCCCCTAGATCGTGTGATTTAGGACCATTAGATTTCCTTTTATAGGTTTTTTTTTAAATCACAGGTATATTGAAACAAGCTCAGAACCATACGTGCTTTAAACGAGAAGATTGAACGTTGCTTCAATGAATTTCAAGCACATCTTTGCAGAAGAATCATGGAAAGTTCCGACCAACCAGTATGTACATATGTCGTAGTCATTGGCCCTTTGTATTATTCCATAAATAACACTATAATATCTGATTTATAATTTAATAAAAAAAAATGCAATCTAAGGACTATAAGTTATATTTTCTAGTTAATTCCAATTTTAATTTTCTGACACCCATTATATAATATATTATGTAAGATGAGGAGATTACTTTTAGGATGGCCTTTTCTGCCCTCGAAAGTCATGTTTTCCGCTGAAGGAATCAAAAATTTTTCGAGAGTCGGCTTATTATATTTATGAGCACTATAAATGATCCATGAATTAGTTAACGAAAGCATTAGGAGTTTAAAAAAGGCTTTTTTTCATCACTTTTGAAATTTGCTTTCGAAATCGTAGAGCCCTGTATTTYGAGTTCAGAGTAATTTCTTCTTCTTCTTTATTGGCGTAGACACCGATTATGCGATTATAGCCGAGTTAATAACAGCGCGCCAGTCGTTTCTTCTTTCCGCTACGTGGYGCCAATTGGATATTCCAAGCGAGGCCGGTTCCTTTCCTTCTCCACTTGGTTCTTCTAACGGAGTCTTCCCCCGGCGGATACCGCGTCGAATACTTTTAGAGCTGGAGCGTTTTCGTCCATTCGGACAACATGACCTAGCCAGCGTAGCCGCTGTCTTTTAATTCGCTGAACTATGGCAATGTCGTTGTATATCTTATACAGCTCAACATTAACAGTCCTTTAGCGGATAAAAATCAGGGACCGTTTCGGTTATATAGACCTCACTGTCGTGGGAACGGTTTCTTGGAAAGGTTGTCTATTGTTGATCGAAACGATCAGTTGATTTTTATATAATTTATTTTTTGTTTTTTTCTTAAGAAGAATATTTAGCACAAACTAAACTTAAAACAGCTTATATCTAAACATTTGAATCTTTATATAATACATACATATGTATATCTTAATGAAAAATACTACCCTGACTTGAAAGAAAAAATGGTAAAATAATACTAAAAAAAATCAACGTTATAAACGAAAGAGTTTTTCTGTAACTTGAGATCTTGTACATGATATATATATAAGTATAGGTACGATGGTGTTTCAGATTAAAGGAATACCATTCAATGCAGGGATGATACCCTAAACGCTATATAACCTAAAATGAAAAACTCCAATTGACACTATCTGTATATAACACACTAGCAATAGATTATAAAAAAAAAATAGAACTATAGTGTTTTGTGATTTTTTGTATAAACACCCCCTCGTAGCTTCCTGAACTATACTACTAGACTATCCTCTGCACACTTTCCTACTTATCTTCGTATAGTATTAGAATTTATTGAACTAAAATTTGGCAAAAAATGCTAGGGTTGTGGTCACTATTGAAATTATACTCAAATACTATTTATATTTATAAACTAATACTAGTGCATTTTTGCTAATTCTTAAATAATGTTTTTGTTAAAATAATGTCAGAGACTCAATAAAACTTTATCTAAAACTTTAAGTTGCAAGGCAAGTATATATAGTAACAATATAAATAACAAAGAGAAAAGTAAAAGACCTTTCCCAAACCTATAACACAAAACAATTCCAGCACAATCATGCACTCTCATGAAGTTTTTTTCATAATTTCGATAATAAGTTTTTTTTAACTGCAACAGATCATTCTAGATAACTGGGAGTATCTAGACATTGACCTGAATTCCAATACCAAAGTATCTATTTAGACATTTTCTGGAACTGAAGTTCTTAGTGCTTCGAACAGCTTCTTTCAAGGAGGTGAGCATTCACTCCGATAACAGAGCGGCAAGTTAGTCAAGAGTGTGTGTTCTCACAAGAAATAGTATTACGCTCTTCAACATCAGATTCGCCTAGTCATAGCGGAATCGCTGGAAACTATAAACCCCATCACGTTCACATCGGAGTGAGAAGGAGTCGGGTCTCTGTGGTCACCTTGCACTCTAGCGTTAGGCTTATGGACCTTACGTCCAAATACTTTATCCTCCATTCTTCAGTATTTGCTAAACTAAGGTTTAAACACCTCAACAGTCATACCATCGGCGAAGCAGCAAACATAGCCGAAATTAATATTGGCTGCCTCAACAAATTTGTGCTTTGTCGATTCGTAAGGGTCTTATGATCTAAGTATTATATAGGGGTTTTAGGTACCACCACGGACCGGCCTTAAAAGATCCCATTTTCAGGATCGTCTATATAGCATAACCTCGTCACTCCGTTTGCTTCATACCTCTTGTTTCCCATAATTTTTGAATTTCCACTCAAACTCCTATGATTTTTTACAATTTCTGTTAAAGCCCATAACACCAATATCGATTTCTTAACTATTTATCTCTCTATTGGTAGTGAGCTTTAATAACTCATTAATATTGAGAAAATATCTTATATGAACAGACTGAAAACATTAATATTTCTTCTTTTTCTTTATTGGCGTAGACAACGCTTACCGAGTTTATAATAGTGCGACAGTCGCTCTTCCTTTTCGCTGTTTGGCGTCAATTGGAGATCCCAAGTTTAGCCACGCCCAGGGAAAGGTTTTTCCAACGCAATGGGGGTCTTCCACTTCCTCCGCTTTCCCCGGCGATTACTACGTCGAATACTCTCAGAGCTGCAGTGGTTTCATCTTTTGGACGGCATGACCCAGCCAGCGTAGCCGCTGTATTTTTATTTACTGAAATATGTCAATTTCGTCGTATTTCTCGCGCAAGTCATTGTTCCATCTACTATGGTATTCGCCGTTGCCAATGAATAAAAGACCATAATTCTTCCGAACTTTTCTCTCGAGAACTCGTAACACTGGCTCATCATATAGCAGGACGGTGATGTTGGATGACTTGTAGAGTTAGACCTTTGTTCGTCGAGAAAAGGCTTTACTTCTAAATTGCCTATTCACTCCGAATTAGCAACTGTTGGCAAGAGTTATTCTTCGTTGGATTTGGAGGCTCACATTGTTGCTGGTATTAATCCAGGTTCCAAGGTAAAGGAAACTATCCATTACTTCAAACTTATGACTGTCAACAGTGACATGGGAACCAAGTTGCGAATGCAACGACTGTTTGTTTGATGACAAGAGATATTTTGTCTTGCCCTCGTTCACCACCAGACCCAATTGCTTAGCTTTCTTATCCAGTCTAGAGAAAGCAGAACTAATTTTTGTTAACTTTTTAACAAAAATGTTAGGTTATGTACTGATGTTACTCATATTCATTTGAAATCAATTTTCCTGGCCTGTATAGCTCTGTTAGAATAATCACTGAAGTATGCCATTTTTAATGCAACTATTTTGTGAGTATCGAATTTCTTCTTTACATTGGCTTCCCCTTATTTTTTGCCATAAAATACGTGTGGAAAGTCCCACTTTGGCTTTGTATTTAAGCAAGTTTTGTAGTTTTTATAGAAAATTGTATATTTAAACACTTCATTCTATTTAATCCCTCGTTAAAACATCGAACATTAATCGCACGTT